AATTGGACACTTAGACAGGAATTGGCAAAGTTTTGTAATAGCCGCCAAGATGACTGAATGTTTTACTTCTTCCACTGTTGATGGCCTATAGAACAGCAGAGCATGAAGTGACTGGATACACTCCAGCAAAGCTGATGTTTGGTCGGGAACTTCGGTTGCCAGTTGACCTGATAACCTTGTGTGACTGTTACCAATAATAGAACATTTCCCGATGGAGAGATGAACCCTACGTGAAGCAGAAGCCAACGAGACAGAGACAAGTACAGAAGAAGATACGCCCCATAAAATTAAGAGACTTTGTTGAATTTTAATTTTGTGTTTGTAAATTCTGTACATTTAATTAAGTTATTGTTAATTATCTATTGGTTTAATGTAAGTGGCTATTGTTCAAGACGAACAATACTAAGGAAGGGGCAGTGTTACAACAGTGGAAGTCACGTGACCCTGGTAACACCTGATGAGATTTTAGAAGAATCGGAGAACCTCACGAACGTCCCAACGTTTGCTAGACGCCTTTTATTTTAGTATATAAGCTGGCAGATAAATTGATAACAGGATATTCGAGTCAAGCCGTAAGTAAATTGTGTAAATCATTGTGAATTATAGCGTGTGTGTAAGTTAAAGTGACTGTGGAAATTCTGTGTATTGCAAAGTTGTATTGAGGAAAAATAAACTAGTTTTATTTAAGAAAGGACTTGTATCGCTGAAGTTCCTCGGGAAGAATTTTTACGGGAAATTAACAAACGACCAGAGACGTAACACTATGTTCCAATCTTGATAATCATAGAAAAAAAAGAAAAAGAAATTTAGAGAACTTAACCTTAAACTAGAATGAGTGAAAAACGTGCAGTAGAACCCGACACTACAAACAATATCTTTCTCAGCCTTGTGTCCATGATTTTAAAATAAAATGTTCAGAATAAATACGTAATATATGTGATAAAGTGGATATCTAGGATCAATAACGTTACATTTTGTTTTGCAGTAGTTTAAACAACGACAACATAATATTAGGAAACGATAATAACTGAATTCATTAGTAAAGATTAAAGAATGTGCTCAGAAAGTTTATTGTAGTAAAATGAGCAAGTATAGTAAGCAGCCATTGTCATGATATTACATATATTTCAAAGAATGATACTCGTAGTACACATACAAATTATAATTTATTACTATATAGTAGCTCATTGTGAAAATATTGTTCGTAAAGGAAAATATATATATATATATAGATAATTGGATAATTCTATATGTAATGGTTTATATCCATAAAATATTTTGTTATGTTTTTGTTATTTCGTTTTACATTTAACGCGGAATCTCTAATCATCTAATATTTGTGCATTTACCGCCTCATGGACCGAAGTGTAAATACAAGTGTCGGATATTCATAACGATTCGGCTTGAGATAGAGAGGAAAATAGTAATTTTTAATAATTGTTCAGTTTTTAATTTATATTTTGTACAATACTTATAATAAAAAGCAAAACTCATGACATTGCCTGGTACAAAAGAAAAACTTTTACAATTAGTAGATGATGTTGAACTTATCGCTAAGTAAGTATCGTTATTTCATAATATTAACATTAACAATGAATTATTAACATGACATTAGTATCACTGTGTGTTACGTTTTAGTTTAAATAGTATTTATGACAGTACTTAATTTCTACATAGATAATTTTCTGTGTTGGACTATTAAATGCTTGATCAACGCATTGTAATGGTATTTCTGTTAGGCATTGTTCAAACTCAAGTTAATCATCTTAGAGTTAATCAGTTAATGAAATTGTTCAAGATGGCTTTCCATACCAATTACTGAATTAGTTAAGGAACCTACTAGAAATAATGCTATTTTAGATTTATTGTTAACTTCAAATGTAGAAATGATAGAGAGGGTGGAAATTGGGGGACGTCTGTGTGCAAGTGATCATTGTTCTATTACTATTAGGTTCAATGTTCTGCTGCATATGGAGATAAGGAATAATAATATTTTGGTTAGAAATTTCAAAAAAGCAAATTTTGAAGGGATGCGACAAGAATTATCTGTTGTGTATTGGGCAGCTGAATTATTTCATAGATCAGATGTGAAATTTTTTTAAATATTCAGGATAAACATATTCCTTACAGAAAGAAAAGGGAAGTTGCAAGTGTAAAACCAGGTTGGCTCACAAAGAGTTTAAGAGATAAAATTAAACAAAAGCATCATCAATTTAAGACTGGTAAGACAGAAGATTATAGAAGATCAAGAAAGTTGGTGAAACAGGAAATTAGGACATCAAAAAGGATGTATGAGAAATTGGTGGCTGAAAATGTAAAAATTAACAGTAAGGATTTCATTAAATACATTAAGGGGAAACAAAATGTTAGGATGGGAGTAGGGCCCTTCAGGGATGATAAATGAATGTTCATATCTGATGGCTGGGTTATCAACTTTTGCTGTTTCTTCAGTTTTCACTAACAAAGATTTAAGCAGTATTCCTCATCTTAAACAGTTGATAAATAGAGATGAGATCAAACAAGATGACTGCATTAATTCTGAGCTGGTTAAGAAAAAATTGGGAAGTTTAAAGAATGATAAGGCTCCTGGGCCAGATAATATTTTCCCAAGGGTTTTGAAGGAGGTTAAAGATGGATATGTGAGCCACTTACTACTATTTTTGTCAGTCCTTGAATAGTCGGCAGGTGCCAGAGGATTGGAAGTTAGCTGATGTAACTCCTCTTTTCAAGGGAGGTGATAAAAATTTTCCCATTAATTATAGACCCATTAGTTTTATATCAATTGTAGGAAAAGTTTTGGAAAGTCTGATAAAAGATGCTTTGCAAAGTTGTTTAACAAAAATAAGTTTAGAATTTTATTAGATAGTCAACAAGGTTTCACTAAGGGAAAATCTTGCCTTACAAATCTTTTGAGATTCACTGAAAAGGTTACTGCTTACATAGATGAGGGTAAGGGTGTAGATTTGGTGTATCTGGATTTTCAGAAGGCATTTGACAAGGTGTCACATAAAAGGCTTGTAAACAAATTATCTCTACAAGTGTGGGGGTTAAGTTAACAAATTGAATAGAAGATTGGTTGGATGGAAGAAAGCAGTATGAAAAAAGATTATGCATCAGCACTATCAATTCCCTTCACAACATCTCAATAAGATCCCCCCCTAATTCTTCTTTCGAGGGAAAACAATTTGAGATATTTCAGCCTCTCCTCCTTTGACAAACCCTCCATCCAAGACACCATTCTAGTAACCCTTCTCTGAACCATTTCCAACAATTCAATGTCTTTCCTAAGGTAAAGAGCTAAAGACTGAACAGAATATTCCAAACGTGGCCTAACGAGGGACCCATACAATGAAATTATAACCTTTTTAGACTTGTATTCAATATTTCTTTAGATACTACCTAAATCCTATTTGCCCTACTACTAGCAATAGCACACTGCTTGGATGGCTTTAGAGACTGATCAACTATTACACCAAGATCCCTTTCCTTCATAACACTATTAAGGTTATTCCCATCCAAATTATAATCATAATTCAAATTGTGATAACCCACATGCACTATCTTGCATTTATTATAATTAAAACCCATCTTCCATTTACTTTCCCAACTTACTAAATGATCTAAATCCTTTTGTAAATTTCAACAGTGAGAATAGTGGGACTAGAGAACACAAGTATAAATTTTGGCAAGGTAGGAATCACCTTCAGCTAAGACAGTCTTATTTTTCTAACAGGGTGGTTGGCCTTTAGAATGGGTTGCCTTTGGATGTTGTATAGGCAGTAAATTTAAGTGAGTTTAAGGAAAAACATAATAAGTTTATGAATGATAAGGGCTGGCTTTAAGATATTTTCTATTTTAATTTAGTTCAGAGGATGGAACAGCCAAGATAGACCAATAGGTCCCATGTTGTCCCAAAACATAATGTTATATGTTATGTTAATTCCATGCTACTTAACTCTTTCATTGCCTTAACTTCCTTTGAATTCAATATTACACTTTACAGTTTTACACCCTAAAAACCACGTTTTACTTAAACAAACTACAGTGCAACTTGCAAGTAATATTTTATTATCTACTGTTTTACTCTAGCCAAGGACAGTAAAGTATCATTACCAACGTTACCGCTACTGTTAGTATAAGTACTATTAGTATTACTAACACAGTAACAGTGTTACTTGTAACTTTAAGTTGTAGCATTTCAATTTTTCATAACTTACTCATTTTTGGAATTGACATGATGGCTAAACAGTAAGTTGAGTAACCAATAGTCAGCTTTTCCTACAACAGAGGAATTGATGGTTAGATAAGAAAACCAGTTAACCAAAATTTATAATTCGAAACAGTATATGACTACATATTAAGAACTTATTAAACCAAGACACCAAAGACATGATTTCAACCTAGTAATATTATACTCATATTATAATTTATAAATAATACAACCCAGCTGTGAGAAGCTTGCAACAAGAGCACCGTCTTCTGGTGATAAAGTCAACACTAGACTTTCAAAATAAGAGTGTTTTTTGTTGTTGCTGCAGAATAAAAGAAAGTACTGCAGAAAATGGATTGTTAATAATATAATTTTACTGTACTCCGAACAGAATTTCATGAATACGTAACAAACTACTTTGATATTCTTTTTATTTACTTAAACAACAAATGTATATTTGCTGTGATTTTTACTCTAACCCAGGTGGCTTAGCGTTAGACTGGAGAACTTATAACGCAAAAATACCGCAAATAGTCCACTGTATAGCTTCGAACTTATAAATAATAAAACGGTAGTGATGGTGATTTTTTATTCTAACTTTATAAAAGAATAAAACAAATATACTTTAAATCATGTCTACTTATATATAATATTGTTACGTCTCTGTTCGTTTGTTAATTTCCGGAATAAATTCTTTCCGAAGAACTTCAGCGATACGAGTCCTTTCTTGACTAAAACTAATTTATTCTTTCTCGATACAACTTTGTAATACACATAATTTCCTCAGTCACTTTAAACTTAACTAATTTTATGAACACGCTATAAATCACAGCGATTCACACACTTTACTTACCGTGCGTAGTGCGTCCCTCAACAGCAACCTCTACTGGTTTCCCGGAGGCTGACTTATTGGTAATATTTTCTTACACTGGCTTCTCATATGTCCTTCCTCTACACAGTAGCAGCATTTCCAGCCGTGGCATCTTCCCTGTGTTGAAGTTGCCGGCATTGAGCTCTCTTGTGCCCAGGTTTGTTACAGTGCCAGCAAAGTCCCCCAAACTTCTCTGAAAGCTGCCCTTTTCTGGCCTTGAATCCTGATAACTGTACCAACCTTGGTACCTCTGTGCTGGACTTAATGTAGGATTCGAATTCAAGAGCTCTGGCCATTGCATCCTGCATAGTAGAGAGGTGTTCTTGCTTTACTTGTGTCTTCAGTTGTAGACTGTCCAAGGCGTCTACAAACTGATACCTCAGCAACAGCTTGAGGACATCGGGTGGTGCAGTTGGGTAGGCCTTGTGTGGCATATTTTCCAAATCCTGTGCCAGCTCTTGCAGGCTCTCCCCTAAACCTAGCCCTGTAGACTTCGGACTGATTTTGAGTTCCATACCCGAGGTCTAGAGCAGCTACCAGTGCTCTAGAGTTGTGCCTGTCGTCTGCTGACAACTGTCCAAGTATTTCCAGTGGTTGTCCCTTCAGGCTTGTTGCCAGATATACTGCTTTCTGCTCCTCTGTCCATCCATTCATTTCTACCAGAAGCTCAAATTGTGTTCTATATGCTTCCCATGGTGCCTTCCCATCGAATTCCTGTGGCTTCCTTCGTACTAGATCACCCCTATTGCTGACACTCGTGTCTGGAAAGTGACTTCCGGCAGGACTGAAGATGTCTGCATTAGGGTTTAGCTGCGGGGGTCTGGAAGAGGCTTCCTATTGTCTGGGGCTGATTAGGTCCATGGTTAATATATCCCCCCTGTGTAAAAGACAGCAAATCGTCCTTTAATGTATTATTACGACAGCGGAGGTCACGTGACGTTAGTAACACGCCACGCGCTTCTAGAACGTTCATCAAGCGTCGGGAGACTACTAGATATGGGGTAGTCTTGTATATATAAGACCGGCCAAGAAGCGACGGGAATA